TGCGTAGTTTTGCGCTAACACTTGACTATTATTCGCCTAAGGCGTATGAATACGTACGCAAAACTTTTGATACTTGCCTCCCGGATCGCCGTACGCTTCGAAAATGGTACCAAAATATGGGAGGTGATCCTGGTTTTACTGCAGAATCCATAGAGGCGTTAAAAATAAAAGTGAAAAGCACGAAATATCCCATTATTGCAGCCCTTTCCTTGGATGAAATGGCTATACGTCGTCGTATAGAATGGGATGGAAAAAAATTACTCGGACATGTTGATATTGGCAGTGGCATCGAAGGAGACCACGTAGGAATAGCCAAAGAGGCTCTGGTATTTCTGGTGACAGGCATAAATTGTAATTTTAAGGTTCCCGTTGGATATTTCTTAGTTGACGGAATTAACGGAAGACAACGCGCAGACTTAATTTTACAATGCTTGGAACTTATAGCAGAAACAGGCATACAAATAATTTCCCTAACTTTTGATGGATGCGCTGCAAACATTGCAATGGTAGAATGCTTAAACTGTTCAATCAAAGATAAAAAAATTTCTTTTCCACACCCGTCAACGAATAATCCAGTTGTTGTAGTGCTAGACCCATCACACATGATAAAATTAATCCGTAATGCTTTTCAATGCTATAACACATTTTTAGATAAAGATGGTAATACCATAGAATGGCGATTTTTGGAACAATTAAATAACCTTCAAATGAAGGAAGGCTTTCATTTAGCGAACAAGCTTCGTTACCATCATGTTCATTTTCAAAATAATAAGATGAAAGTTAAGCTCGCAACGCAATTGTTCAGCCTAAGTGTAGCAGACGCTATAGACTTTTGTCGTGACCAATTAAATCTACCTTCATTCAAAAATAGTGAAAGCACAACATTTTTTTTGAGGATTATCAATAACATGTTCGACATTTTTAATTCCCGAAACACATATGAATATAACTTCAAAAAAGCTCTAACAGAATCCAACGCTGCAATGCTGCTTAATTATTTAGACATGGCGACGACGTACCTATCCGAGTTGAGAACAGAAGAGGGAACTCTTTTGACAAAAAGTTTACGTAAGACTGGTTTCAATGGTTTTATTGGATGTGCTGAAGCTGTTAAACATTTTTATGAAACGTTAATACGTCCTGGAGTTCTGATTTTTATGCCATTTTACAAAGTAAGCCAGGATCACCTTGAAATGCTTTTTGGAAATATTAGGTCACATGGTGGAGGTAACAATAACCCCACGGCCCGCCAGTTTAAAGCTGCGTACAAAAAACTTTTAGTTCATATTGAGTTAAAAGCTCTCGATAGTGGAAATTGTACTGCGCTTGAACACATTTCAATTCTTGATTGTGCATCATCTCCTGTAGCACGGATTAATAGATCCATACGAAGGATTGCGATTGAAGATGACGATGATGATGATGATAATAATAATAATGAAGAGGATATTAACGCATTTTTCAATACCATCTCAGATTTTAGCAATCAAATCATTAGCCATATTTCAGGATACATAGCGCATATTTTAATTAAGAAAATAGATTGTGATATTTGCATTGGAGCGCTGTTGTCCAATAGCATAAATGAAGACCATAAATTTATAGTTGCTAAAGATAAGGGTGGTCTGTTATACCCGTCAAGAGATTTGATACAGATTTGTAAAATTTCAGAGTCTGTTATCAAAATTTACACGGAAAACCTCCGTAATATAAACAAAAAAATGTTGATGGCAAAAATTATGCGTCATTTTGTAGGAAGTGAAATATTTAAAAACATAATTTATCATCAAATTGGCCAATACCCTACAGCAAACCACGTCACAGACCTCACCAAAGCAATTGTTGAAAAATATATTAACGTAAGGTTACACTTTGTTTTGAAAAACTCTTTAACCATTGATAGCAAGCGCCAATTGCTTAATAAATACGTTTTATTCCAAGGACAGTGATTATTTGTAATTAATAAAAGTAAAATAAATATTTCTTAATATTTATTTCATGTTTCATTTTTTCCCATGCATTCATCAGATATTTATCGATAAAGAATATCGACTTTATCAAGCACTAGCGCGTATGAGCTTTTTTGCATGTGTGTGTCTATGCCTACGAGACCTTAGAGCTAGTGTGCGAACGAATCTCTGCCCTGAGATTTATGTGTGTGTGATTTGGTTGTGTGCGAAATATTTGTAAACATACTAGTGCGTATGTGTAGAAATTAAAATAGTGGGAGACAAGCGGCGACACTGGTCCTAATACAAAATTGGAGCTAGGGCCTTTCCAACCTTATTTATCTATTCCGTGGTGGTTATCATAGTCTTGTTACACAATCGAATAAAAAACACAGCGGTAGTGGCGCTAGTGTCGAATAAAAGAGTGCTTCTTTTATATGTATAGGCGTCTGTTAGTTCCAATTTCGGCCACTTGATTCGTTAAAACTTAGTAGAATTATAACAAGATCGATTTGCTGTACGCCTAGTCATGGCAATGTAATAATATTTTGCAATTACTAAATCTATTATTAATAAAATGTTATAGGTAATAATAAAGTAAAAGAGTTCCCGACAACATTGCTAAATAATTATAAGTAATAAAAGATCACTTGGACTGAATTTATAATGGTCGTTACGCATACCGATGTTTTATATAGGCAAACTTCTAATAAATAGGCAACAGGTGGTATGGTTTTTTGTTCAACGAACTAATACTGGTTAAGTGATTTTAAATGGGATCGAGTGGACTGAGTCTTGTTAAGTAACTATCATTTTTGCATTTTTGTTAATCAGATTATATTTGATACGATTAAAAATAAAATTAATAAAAAGGAAATGCCAATCTAACTGTCGTAAAAATATCATTAAAATTAAATGAGATCATTTTAATGAGTTAAACTCCTCTTAAGTAAGGAAAAAATTGCCAAAGAATTTGGCCCGAGTAAATCTTATGTGTTTAAATACTTGTAAGGTGCAATACGGATGTAATAATTGTATCCCTTATAAAATCGCTTTCAGAAAAGGTTATTTAGCACTTAAAAAACACGCGGTGTATCAACACAGAGTCTCGAGTGTTACTATGTGTATTTATAAGACTTATAACTACACCAGAGAAAAATGGACGTTACATTGTTTATGAGCACATCGACTTTGCCATTTTTTGTAGAAAAAGAAACATTTTAGATGTTTCTGCTTCTTCGGTTTCTCCTACTCTCGGAAGGGAGAGCCGGAGAGTCAAGACTTTTTCGACTTAGAGCCCCCTTCTGAGAAGTTAAAACCAGACCCAGGTATGGGGATTGTCAGACTCTTACTGACTAAAACACCCCCGTTCCTTTTCCTGCTCCAGGTCGAGGTCGCGGTACCTTATTGATTGCGCTTGACGCGTTCTGCATACCCCAATGGGGGACTAAATACGTTTGTTATTGTTATATATAAAAGTTATTTTATTACTGAGTAACCGTAGTATCCATTACAATACAACAGCCTTGCTAAAACATGCATGTCTCTTGTACAAATAAAGCATCGACGTCTGTTCACGGCGGTTCATTCATCCATAAAAGACGAAGGCAGTATAAAAAATTGATACGCGATACCGATCGGCGTTTCTTTTGTCTCCAATAGTTTATTTTTTAACAAATTAATCAATTATTTATGAAAGGATTGCTAATACCAGTTGCTCGGTAAGGTTGTCAACGGACGCAGTTCATTAATATTTTAATGTGTTTGTGAGTTGATATGTATCAACTTTTTTATGTTATATATATGATGGGAAATAGTTTGACGGATTACCTGATAGTAAGCTATCGGTTCCGCTTATGGACACCCGCAACAACAGAGCAGTTTGAGTTGTGGGTAAAAGGATTTTGGGGATTCAAGGATTAAGGAGTGATGGGGGTAGGGGAAGGATTAGGCCTTCGGTAATCTCACTCACACGGCGAAACAAAGTTGTTTTTTCTGTAAGGCCGTGGTATCACTCAAGTCGAGACGGCCCATTCGTGAAATTTCATCTCCAATTCGCATTTAATTAATGTACAACAAATGCGTTTTACTCCTCCTAAGTGGTTGAAGTAGCTTATTTCTGTAGTATTTACTGATAACTTGATCGATAGTTGCAACTAAAAGGCTAAATGAACCATCTAGTTTCTAACTAATATAATCTTTTAAGACGATTGCAGAGCGATAAGCTTTTGAAAACGAATAATCTCATTGGTAGAAAGACTTAGCAATGCTTGAATTAACTTAAAACTGAGCTTATCAAGTGAAACTCATCATGCACGTAAGCCTAATGGAGGCAACGACTCCATATCTTCAGTGTTCACCCAGCCTTATTATGCCTAAGTGGGACGTTGGGCTTCATGAACTAAAACTAGATAGAGTACTGACAGACAGATAGACAAATGGACATGAATTGACAGCGAGAATCGATAATGTTTGAAGACTACGTTCGCAGTCCATAGTTAGAACCAGTTTATAGCTTCTAACTCCTATATAACGGATTGGCATCACCGTACAGGCAATTAAGCAAATTGATTTTAATGCGATTCCAATAGTTTTGAATAATTACCGGACAAGATATAAGATATACACGAAACTATTTGATGAATCTTATTTATGTTCGCTGTCGGAATATTTTTCGCAAGTCGTTTACGAATGTTGAGTTTATTGCAAATATTTGCATGATATATGGATTTCGGATGTCGAGAATGTTAAAGAAATCAAGATAAAAATGTTTGGTAACGGCATCGATGTCGTGTTTGCTAATGAATGGTTAACTACTCGACAGGTTCTACTGTTATTACTTTAGAAATACACTTTTTTCAAGAAAAAATCTTGTACTAGATATAGTTACCTCCGTGCGTTTTTTTTGGTTTAGGAACATTATTTCAACTGCTTGTTCAATTTGAGTTGTACATAAAAACCATAATCTTCAGTTACTACGTACACATGTTATTTTTTACCATTAATTACTAATGGAATTGGTTTTATAATGGAAACTATTCTTTGTTACAGATCTATAATAAACATCAAGAATGATGTGGTCAGTGTACAAAGTAGCTGCACTAATACTGCTCAGTGCACTCAGCAAGGGACAACTACCAGAAGATGACTTCAGGATAATCAACAGACAAGGTATTTTGAGTTGATCAAATTATACATTTTGTTTCCTACGTCATAAGAGCGACTATCGCCAGTCAACAAGTCTGTCAAATAAGGCGTTCTATATTGGCTATTACATTTTCTTTCCTTGCTTTTAAATATAATTATATCCATGTTTAAACACCCGTCGAAAAGTTTATTTCCACTAAAGTTAAATATTTATAATGCATTTTAATAATAATATGGATCGGCCCACACTTTTCCCACTAGTTTCTCGTATCATTGAAAATCAACGAAAGGTGCCAATCATCAGATCCAATTATTTCACTGTTTACATTCTTAATACTAACACCAAATATTTGGATCAAGTCGACCATATGGTTCAATATTTACAAAAAACTTTTCATTGTGCTTCTCCGTTTATTTGTGTGTACAATGAGTGTGAAAATAATCACCGCATGGTAATCTCTTAATCGCTACTATAAACATTCGAATCGATGACAGGTACACGACAATAACTCGGTACAGAGCAACCAGATTATCTTGAACCGCGGCGGAATATGGAATTAGATGTTTAAAGTGGACCAATTGCTATTAGGATATTTTATGTTAGTTTTTAACCGACTTCAAAAAGGAGGAGATTCTCAATTTTTTTTATCTAGACATTATTATTGGAGATGTACAGAAAGATATCAATTGCATCGAATATTTATAGAACATGAATAGTATTAGCCTTTTTTGAGGAGTGATAATCATCAAATGACATGGCGAGGGAGTCGTGACAAACACTGAAAAATCACCCCGATTTTAGTCCTGCTTCAGACCAAGACCGCGGCACCTTGTTGTAATAGTAATTCTCACATATATTATGATATTGAAGTCAAAATAATTACATTCTTATGACTATAACTTAAGAAAACAATAATGTAGTCAAAATAACTAAAAGAAAGATTCGTACGGACGAATTCTGTTTCACTATTTGCGATTGTCAAAGACAACAGCGCAACGTGGAGGGGTCCATTTACACTGGTCGTCGTGTACAATGTGTTGTTGCATATGTAATCAGTTTTACAAGTCAAACAGGCTAGCCTAAATGAAGAAAGCTAATTGCTTCGCCTAACTGTCAGGTAGAGCTTAAGTACTCTGTTGTAAGCTGTTCAAGGGCTTGGTTCTGTTGTTAGTTGCTTCAGTGCAGCTTTGAATTGAGTTATTAGCTCGTACTCGAAATTAGCATGTTTCATTTTGGTCTCAATGCCATAAACTTATGCTAAGTTCAAGTATTAGGGATTGTATGTTCATTTGCTTACAATGCAATGATTAAGAGTTAAACGTATAGCAAGGTTAAAAATAAAAAACTTTGGAGCTGCAAGGTCCAAGGTTAAAAAGCGCGAGCTCGATAATGTAGAAGGAAGAGGGTTTTTTTAGTCAGTAACGGCCTTATTACAAAAAAGGTTTTATTTTAGTCTAGGACTAAACCATTGAGCCAGTTTTCGTATTTCGAATTGAAGATAGGTGACAATAAGATTCAAAATTCAAAACCCGACTCAATAGTTTAAACCTGGACTAAAGATAAATCTTGTTTTGTAATAAGGGGGTAAGAGTCTGACTGACCCAACCTCTCGCCTTACCCGGAGGAACTCATTTGATAATTTTCTACCAATAGGAAAAAGTCGTCTAAGAGCTTTAACTTTAAAATACATTTTAGAAATAATCTCTAATCGAACATTTATTAGCGGTTTATGTTTGTATAAAACTTAAATGGCTACTTCCTGTCTCTCTAAACTCGTTCCGAAAATGTATTTAATTAAGCTTTTAGACCATGATATGTGTATTACGCAACAGTACCTACAAAGTTTCTTTAAAATCTGTTCAGCAGTTTCACATGATTTTGGACTTGAATTATTAGTGTTTGTATCGTATTATGCAAATACTATTTATGCTTATTATAGTTCTTAGAATAAGATTATGATTATATTAGCTGTAAGCAAATAAATACCACATTGCATTTTTAAAGCCAACCTACCTATTCTCATTAAAATTATACATGACTTGTCTAATTTTAAGCGCCGAATTCGGATTATACCAAGAATTTGCGTAGGCCAAGTACCTATCACATAACAAGAGAATTAAAATAATCTAATTTGTTATTCAAAAATGGCCGCTAATCAATCAGTATTCAGTTCAACATAGATGTTATGAAAATGAACCAGCCAGCTTGAGATAGTTGCATTTTTAATTTATTCCGTACATACAATAATAGTTGTCAACAACTTTCATGAACTGGATTTTTTGGTTCTAGAAGAATTTTGGTACAAAATTATACGGAGTTGTTTATTGAAGCTATAGGACATTCTATGTATGTAGGGCAAAAAATCCTAATTAAATCCGAATTTAGTGATTTTTATTCGGGTCAATCCTAGATTGGATATATTAACCACATTGTCCGTTTTGACAAATAACCATCGCTAGTTTAAGGAAGCTCTATTTTCTTTCTAATTATTATTTAGATTACTATAATAAAAAAAAGATCCGGAACAACAATTTATGAATTACACGAAGAAAGCGTTGATCCTCTAAATAACTCAATATTTTGGATACTTTTTATACGTTGTTTTAATGAATATTCCGATTAATCACTACATAGTTTAAAAACAAAGTTGATTTGTATGTGCCTATAGCCCTATATGATTAAATCCTCATAACTACGAAACGGGCATTTGGAGCGGTTTTTTTTGTAATAGACAGAGTGATGGAAGAGGAAAGTTTAAATCTATACTAATATTATAAAGAGGTAAAATTTGTAACATTGTAAGTTCGCATGTTTGTAAGTTTGTATGTAGGGGGGTAATCTTTGGAACCGCTGGTCGGATTGCCAAAATTCTTTTACTTATTGTTAGCTACAATGTTCCTGAGTGCTAAAGGCTATAAAACATCACACTAATCAAGTGGAGCTGAGCAGCGGGTGAAACCGCGCTATAGTATCTAGTGTATAATAATAACCTCCACCTCTCCTCCTCCTCCTCCTTAGTAGTGTAGACATTTAGTATCAGCATAGCACCCATAATTTTTATAATTCCAAATTTTCTCTTTTGCTTCTAGATCTTTTGACGACGGAACACAGCGACGTGTTCGAGGATTCGAGTTCTGGTTCATTCTCGCAATTGCTGTTCGATGTGGCAAGGGACCAAGTTATCGTGGGCTCAAGGTGAGTACCCAAATCTATTTGTGTCTAGACTTTAAGCCAACCTGTTTACAGACACTTGATTTAGTTAAGCAAGGTGTAAGGAAACACAAATAGTAATGCTGTTTCATTCTTTATCGGGTTTTGTTTGTTGCTGACTGAATAGACTTGGATTTGATAAAGTACATCTTATTGGTCGTTGATCTTTATGGTTGTTACGTAGTCGAATGATTTTAGGTGTAATTTTTGCGTAGGTAAAAGTGCTCTTATGACTGAACTTCTCAATTGAGAAAAATGTCTATTTATAAGGAATAAAAAAGTTTTTCATCCCCATCACATAGATGGTTGGCAGTCAACAACTGTGCGTTTCACCCGAAACTTTCTGCCCCGCACAGCAAAACTTTGGAATGATCTTCCGGCGGCGGTATTTACGAACCGATACGACCTTCAAACCTTCAAGAAACGAGCATATTCCTTCTTAAAAGGCCGGCAACGCACCTGTGACTCCTCTGGTGCGGATGTCCATGGGCGGCGCCGATCGCTTTCCATCAGGTGATCCGTCTGCTCGTTTGCCACCTATTCCATAAAAAAAAAAAACAAAAAAAAAAAAAAAAAATTGGGACTTGTATACACACATATATGCCATGATCTTTAGGACTTAGGTAGACTAGTTAGATGTATCTTTAAATGTTTTTTTTTCTTTAAACTGCCCTGTTAACATTGTTACAAGTTCCACCCAACATTTTACTTGTATGATGTTGTCAGCGTAAATAAACAGACTTTTCTTAGTTCACTAATTTGCCTCATGCTATATTCTGGCGAGATCAAACTGCTGTACTCGAAAGTGATTTATCCCAGTACTTTGCAATTTTTGTAAAGAACAAAATCTTTAATATATTTGAAAACTAGCTACTCTCGCGCGGTTACTCTCGGTTTCACCCGCTGCTCGGCTCCATTTGATCGTAGCGCGATGTTTTTTAGCCAATGGCATTCAGGAACATTGTAGCTACCTTTCAGTGAAAGAATTTTGCCAATCCGACGAAAACTTACTAATTTTACCTCTTATATTACTATAGATTAAAATAAATTTTAATGAGGTAATTATTCACGATAGAACTTTCCTACCAGTATTATAAAGATAACATGTTTAAACTGAGGGAAAGATGGTCATTAGCTATACCTATTTCATGTTCAATTAAACAAAATGCATTATTAATACGATGGCTGAACTTGAATCCTAATGAGTTCGTCATAAAGTTATTAAAGTTTCATGAAAGACAAGACTGTCTAGTTTGCAATACTTAATTAAAAGTCGGTTATAAACATTTTATTGAGTCTTATAATTAACACATAAGCGGTGTAAATTTTATAGAAGTGTTTATGGAAATTATGTTTATAAGGCCTTGTGTTTCATTCCAAGTTGGGGATGTCATAAATGTTGGTTGCTACCTACTTATTATACATATATCTGTTTACGGGTTTCTTGCTTCAAATTGGTCTACGTCATAAATTGAACGTTCTTTTCTTATGAGAGGGTACTCAGGTTTTTAATTGGCAATTCGCGCAAACATTATGTGTAGTAAAATACTTATGAGGTAGAGAAGTTTATCGAATATAGTTAGTACCTATATTAAAACAAGCTTGCAAGTTTGTGAGAACTGAATTTAACCTTGTTAAAAAGCTTACCTTTTTTTACTGCAACTAGTTAAAATTTTTACTATATCTCTATGAGATTTGGTTTGGCTTTAATGGGATGGCTCGACCTGAGTGATACCACGGCCTTACAGAAAATCAACGTGAAACAACCACAGCGTTGTTTCACCGTGTGAGTCAGGTTATCGGAGTCCCAAACTTGCCTAGCCCCATTCCTCCATACTCCCTAAACCTCCCAAACCCTAACCCCCAAAAGGCCAACAGCAACTCTTAACACCTTTAGTGTAGCGGGTGTCTATGGGCGGCGCCGAATGCTTACCATCAGGTAATCCATCCGCTAGTTTGACGACCTATCACATATAACAAAAAACAGAGGTTGAAACGACATTAGTTTAGACATTTTATGTAGTTCTTCAAAATGGGGTTACCGCTAAAATCGAATCACCTTTAAATAAACTGCTAAAATAAAATACCATTACATTGATTGACTGACTAAACGTTTTTAAAAGAAAGCCTAAATACCTACGTAAGACGCTTGCTTTTTGTATAAAGTAACGTTCTAAAATGAACTTTAAAGAAATGACTGTGCAACGTTTTTAACACGGAATAGAAATAAGCCGGATTCTTCTGTCCGAGTCACACAAAATGGTTCCAAAGATTTTATTATCGCGCTCTAACGCGTTTAAAGGGTCTATTGTTAGTTGGGGGTACGCTTTAGATTTTTTGTCAAGGCATCTGGTTTCAAACAAGCCCTTTCAAAATTCGGTCCGTATTTTGAAAATATTGTACTAATATGTATACTAGGAATTTATTTGGACACAAGCGTTATTCGTTAGTCCAATCGAATTATGCTAAAGTACATATAATGTTTAGGATAGATTCATGATAGCAAAAGTTTAAGCCTTAGTGGTTTTTGGGTGCTATTAGAAGTGATAATCCTGTATTTACTGTTGATATAATAAATAAATAAAAAAAGGACATTTGTTTTTCTTTCACGCAAAACGACTGGACCGATTTGATTGAAATTTGATATACAGTAAGCCGCAGACCGAAGCTATGTATGTACATAAATCAGTGCAGTTTTCGATCTAGACTAGTTTAGATTTATAAATTACAATTAGACATTTATTATTTTGGGTATAAGCTCCAATATTAAATGGCATTACGATTTCTAAAAGAAAATTTGAGTGTTTCCTGCCTACATCGATATTAGAAGACAATAAAATTAGACATATACTGAAAACTAAAAGACACTCTATACTGTATCTGTTACTCTGTCTATTCCTGTCTATTCACAATAAACTCAAAAACTACTGAACAGATTGCATACCAGTTTTAAACGGGATATAGACTCGTGTTTACACTACACTGATAGGGACTATACCGTGATGATAGTTAATTTTATAATTTAACTTGTCGAGTTTGTTTTACAGGTTGATATTTGCGGGGGTGTCATAATCTTAAAGCGATTGATAAAGTTTTATCTGTGAGAAGGAATGGACATTGCATACAAAGTATTTTATCAAGCTCACTACCTGCTTAGTACTTATATTTTCTGTATATACATAGACAGTTATTAAAAATAATTTATTTTATTTTATTATGGGATAGAGCGGCAAAGAGTAGACAGATTACCTGGTGGTAAGTAATCGGCGCCGCCACCACAACTGTTGCCGGCCTTTTAGGGATTAGCGTATCGAAGATTTAAGGCATAATAACAATCCTTACCTCCCCGGCACTGGGTCTCTGGGTACTGATACGGCAAAACAACACTGTGGTTGTTTCTCGCCGGTTTTCTGCGAGGCCGTGGTATCACTCCGGTCGAGCCGACCCATTCATAGCTGTCCCACACTTAACTTGCATTATTTCTTACAGTAACAGCTACGTTTAATGATATCTAAGTTCTATTCTCAAACTTTAAACGAATGGATTATTATATTGTGTTATATTAATTAAACTTAGGTACTTACAAATAAAAATTAATTTACTTTCAGATTCGTCTCGTCAATCCAACATAAAACCTTCTTACGTAATAAATTAAAAAAGAAACAAAAAAATAAAAAGCTAGTGAGAACATTTTTATATCATTAAAAGAACGTTATCATATGTCATAACAGCTTTTTAATGTGATAACGCTGCTTACCCTAACTTGTTTGGACATCAAGTCATTCACCTGTTAGCTTATGATAGATAGTGTTATCGGTAACCAAGACCGGCCTGTTACCCCACTCTTCGACGAACCGTTTTACTTAATTAATAATTTATACTTATTTTCGTTTTTTATGGTGTTCTCTGAGTGTTATTTAGTGGTCGATAAGGCTGAATTTTAGGCCGCGTTTTAACACAGTAGTACAGTAAGCAATATTACAAGGGTAAAGAATTTTTTTATGCAATAAATAGTTTAAGATTCCTAACCTGTAACTTAAAAACCATTTTTATTTTTGAACGCCTATTTTCAAGATGGCGGCCGTGAGACAAAGGTAGACCTTACAAACTTGTTTTCTGTCCCCCCTAAACCTAAACGTCAAAATGTACAAAACTATTTATTTCTGTTGATTGATATGATGATTCCTATTAAATAATAGGTAAGGTGAAGGAAGCAAAAGGCAACATTTTTCAATAAAACAGTAATGCTCTAACGGTGTTTAAGAAATCCTCATTCCAGATATGAAACAGCAGAAGAGCAATTAATTTTAAAATAAGAATAATAAAAACTGATAGGAAAACCCTACGCGCTAAAGTAAAACTTTGAACCCTATCGTAAATGACATAAGGGTGCATATTATGTAAACTTTTAACGTTTACTGAGCCTGTCTCGCACTATATTCCATTCTAGCTAAGTGTTGAGTCAGAATGTGTGAGTTTTATGTAATAAAACGTGATAAACATTATTAAACATAATTAGAGTATCTGTTCCACATAGTTTACTTGGAAACTGAATAAATATTGCCAATAAACATGGTACATTATCACGGCTATATAATAGTTATATTACCGGAATATTATAACGATATTAACAATATCGACACGACTAATTAGTATAAACAATATAAATATGCAACGCTAAATGTGAAATGCAAGGTTATATACGAGTTAGTCGAGTTGTTCTTTCAAGTAATTACTAGCTATTCTCGCGTAGTTTCACCCGTTGCTCGGCTCCATTTAATCGTAGCGTGATATTTTAGCACTCAGGAACACTGTAGCTATCTATCAGTGAAAGAATTTTGGCAATCCGACCAGCGGTTCCAGAGATTACCCCCTACATACAAACTTACAAATTTTACCTCTTTGTGATATTAGAATAGATAAGTCTTTCCGTTTGTCTTGTAAAATTTTAGATGTAAATGAGCAGTTAGCTTTCAATTTTCTTG